CCCCCCCCCTCCTCCCCTAAAAACCACTTATCTCCCCATAACATACTATGTCTCCTAATGGCTTGCCATTGTGCTTCCCTCTCTATCCCACAGTTACTAGCATAAACAAAAACTGCCGAAAACTTATTGAATTATTAGGGAACATAAAACAAACTTCTAATCCAAAACAGCTACTAATAATATCCACAATAGAGACATTTTCAGACCAACACAGAAAAAGACCTCCCTTAAGACCTACAGGGTCTACTACATACCATCTATCCTCTACCTTCAAATTCTTACACACAGTTTTAACAAAGTTTTTCTTTCTTTTTTTTTTTGTTTCAGACAAAAACACAAAATCTGGGAGGTGGAATCTCATTGATTCCTTTCATTGGGAAATTGTAGAGGGCCTCCCCAGACCTCTACAATTCCACACCATCACTTTCATTGACACCCTTGGGACCATTTCTGGCTGGTCTCTTCCACCATATTTAAGACTGACTCACCCTGAACTTCAACTGAATTTATTGTTTTCTGTTTTTTTGGAAACCTTGAGTCCAACTCTGAATCAATCAAAGCTAACTCTGTTTTCCTTTTACTATTATCCACAGTACTATCTGAAGGAGATACAGGAGCATTACATGTTTCTTACTGTAGGACTCACAGTTGGGACCTGATTCTGGCTAGCTGCATTATTGTCTGAGGAAGGACCACTACCTAAGGATCCTAGATCTTTATCTCACGACAACCCACCAACCTCCTCACTACCCTCTACACTAACCCAATTATTATCCTTCCCTATTTTAGCATGAGAAGCCAAACCCTCACCCTCCACAGATTTCCTACCCTCTGTGTTATCTTTATGCTCACTAGAACCAGATCCCACCCCCCCTCTATGACCTAACCCCCCCTGAGTGGCTCTTAACCAATCTCCATATTGACCACTGGCCAAACACTTCCCAATGACAGCCTCTTTTTTGTCTTCACATGATCTCTCATTGTGTCCAATCTTCCCACATTAGTAGCAAAAATTCTGGAGGTTCTCGTACTTGAAGTTGACCCATTTTGATTCTCCTCCCAACTTCAGATTCGTGCCCCTCAGGAGTGGCTCATTCAGATTTATTTCCACCAGTATTTTCACAATTCGCCCTCCTGCTCCTCCCATCTCAGGAACCACTACAACCATCACTCTATTGAAAAGTTGCCCAATCTTCAATCCCACCTCATGACACCCAATGGAGAGGGAGATTGTGTATTTGCACCCACAACTCAATCTTCTGCTCTTCTGTTGTATACCCATTGTTCTCCTCGCTCCACTCTTTCAGTAACAGATATTGTCCATAAAAATTCCACGCTTTACCCGCCAAGACCTTTTTCCTATCTTCCGCCGACTGAAAGATGAATTGAAACTTGTTGTTACCCACAACCCTTGATATGAATGGCTGCTTTGTGTTCCAGATGCGCTGCATTGTTGTTTTGAGCCCAG